GTGTGTGTGTGTGTGTGTGTGTGTGTGTGTGTGTGTGTGTGTGTGTGTGCCAGATATGGCTGCCAAACTGAGTTAATCTTAGACTTGTCTCAGAGACTGATAGTTCCTAGAGGATACATTTGGTCTCATCACAAAATGGCCTCAGTTTCAGAAGAACTCTAGGTGTTTGAATCAATAGGGACCAAACCTATCTGTGTGTGTGTGTTAGTGTGTGTATTTCTGTGTGTGTGTCAGTGGGGGTGGAGCACTGAAAATAGGGGGAACTGGACAAAGTCTACATTCCCTTACAAGTGGCCTTGGTCTTCATGCCTGCATAAACTGAAATGTGGAGCAAATAAATAATTTTTCCAAGTTCAGAGTGCATTTTTTTTTTGTTAAAACAGAATGTGTCATTTAAAGTCATTTATGTGTGTAAAAGCCCCACTATGGGTTAGAAAAAAATGCATTTTTATTCAAAAGAAACATTTTTAAAGCTTGGTTTCTGCACAAAATGATAATTAAATCAAACTGCTAATTTAATCACGATGTAAACTCTCAACGTAATGGAAAAAAATACAATAAACATAAAAGAAATAGTTTTTTTTAATTATGCCAGCAACATGTTTTAACTTAAGTTGTGACAGTGGAAACAAATGCACAAAAAAACAGGTATGTATTGATGAGAAAAGCCAAGCGTAATGAACCTTGAGGGAATAACTCAAAATTAATAGAGTTAATTAGCAGCAGGTCAGTTACGTCATGTTTTAAAAACTCACCACTAAACGAAACACTCTGTGGGAAATAGTTCACAAGTTAAGAGCCTTAAGGTTGGAGACAAAAAGGAAATTGTTGCGTAATATATTTAGAAGATTTTTAACAGAAATGTCTTTGCAAAGAGAAAAGAACAAGAATCAAACTGAACTGCCAAAATTTGCAACACTTTAAAAAGAAGTTAAGCTCTGCAGCAGACAGTAGTAGTTCCTGCACAGAAACAAAATTGCATCTAAAAATAAAATGATTGTTTGGTGTTGCATCCACAGGTGACAAGTTTCAAAAGCAATTCTTTGAAACCCTGCTCACTTAAAATGTTCTGATGTGGTGTGTAAACCTGTCTTGTGGTCTTTTTAATCAAAGTTTGACATTGTTTCTTAACGGTCACTGACACTAAAGAGAAGCTTGTTATCAGCAAAGATTTAAAAAGCCACCATCTGTGTTGGTATGTGGGTGCATTAGTCCACACTGGCTACTTATGTATACAGCTGTAGCAACCATAAATGCTGCTGTAATCATCGTATGTTGACATCCTGACAGCGTCTTTTTCAGACAAGACTTTGCTTATTTCAGCAAGACAATGTAAACAAAAATTCTCTAAATATTAAACATCATTACTCCATAATTAGATGATACACCTGCCTGCCTTTCAGTCCAGAAGTTAGATTTTTGTTGTTGTTGTTGTTGTTGTTTATTGTCTTGAAATGGCAAGCATCGATAACTAAATACTAAACAGATTAAGGTTTTCTTCTAAATGTTTGAAAACTTAGATGTGACACAAAAGTGAACAATTTTCATTCAAACATTTTTGAAACAAGCTGGAACAAAGTTTGTGAAAGAATGAATTAATTGGATTGTTCAAGTTTTACCAAGTAAAACAAAAGCTGAAGTCAGCAGAGCAGTAGCTAAAACCTTGAAGTGGCAAAACTGTGCTAAAAGCTAAAAGTAGCTAAATATGTAGCTATAATTTAATATTAGGACAACTAAAAGCTAAAAGGCCATAGAAACTAAAATTAGCTAAACCATAGCTAAAATCTAACATGATCAAAATAACTAAAACCTAATATTAACAAAACTATATAAAAAACAACCATAACCAAAAGCTAAAATCAGCAAATCATATCTAAAAATTAAAATTATCAACTCTATAGCTAAAGGCTTAAATGATCAAAACCTTAAAAGCTAAAATAAGTATAACAAGAACTAAAAAGTAAATGTAGCAAAGCTCTAACTAAAAGCTCAAATGAGCAAAACAATACCTTAATAAATAATTTAATTTATCAGTGATCTTAAATAATCAAAACCACATCTAAAAGATAAAATGAGAAAATTCATAGCTAAAAAGATAAAATTAGCAAAACATAGCTATAATTAATGTTTTTCAAAATGGTAAGCTAAAAATTAGCACAACCTTAAACAAATTCTAAAATGCGCAAATGCAATTTAAAAGGCAAATGTGGCACAACTCTATTAGGAAAAACAATACTTAAAAGCTGAAATAAACAAAAACATAACTAAAAGCTAAAATCAGTTTAGTCCAACCAAACATTTTAATATATGAACACTGAAAATAACAAATCATGCAAATCATGTATTGGAAAAAAGCATGAATAAAAAACAGCTGTGTTAGTGCTGAGTCGGCATTGACAAAACAATTATTAAACATTTAATAGTTTATTGTTATTGTCATGTTGATGTGCATAAAATAAACTCCCAGAGCTTGAGTGACAATAAATGAAGGTCATTAAACTCTAATTACCATTTATTCATGTGTTTCATGCCAATAATTTATTTAGCCTATCTGATGGACTTTCCACGTCGCTGATGTCCACACCCAGTTTAGATGATAAGGGCATGAGAGGCTAAAGAAAGGGTTGAGATTGTTGCGGTGAATATTATTATTATAATATTATTGCATATTAAAACGTTTTTCTAATATTGTGCAGCCTGAGCTGAAACACAAACATGACTATACCAAAAGTAAATACAGATAATGTAAAATATGGAGCAAAGCTTCTATAGCATCACATTATTGTTATTTGTCTTGTTGAGTTGGCTCATTCAGAGCACTGCTATCAGAAATTCAGGCTTCAGGGCAAAGGTAGCAGGTGCAACTGGTCCAAATCCCCAGCAGCTCCCTTCCTCCTCTTCCTCACAGATGAGAAATGTGCAAAGACGTTTTCACTTCAAATGGACCTCATCTGTGCAGAGAACATGTTGTTTAATGGGTTTTCAGAAACGCACCTTGATGTTTAATTCAGCCGTCACACCTGCTCAAACCTCCTAACAAGTTCACCCGGGCGTCAGAGTTCAGAGGTTCGGTTTCGTTCCTCTTATCTGCCACCAGGCTTTATTGAGCCTGTTGTGTTCTGATCCCAGGTGTGTGGTGGTCATTAACAGGAAATACTTTGATCTGCTGCTCTGCTCCTGCACGGGTTTTGCAACAGTGTCAAACCAGAGGCTGCGGACAATAAAAATCAGCCATTTAATGGTTCACTTTGGCAAATAAATGCTGATTAGTGATTATTAACAGCCAAAGTACAAGCTGCATTTGTTTTTGTTTTTTTATATAGCTCAATGTTTTAAGATTTTTTTTCTGAACACATGGGAGTTGTTAAGGCAGGTAATGTCATTATCTGTGTTTATTTGGCAAAATATTGCATGAACTGGTTTTAATGAAACTTTCATTAAACGTTATCATTGGCTGTACATCTACAACTGATTAACTTTTAGAGTCAAATGGATTTAATATGTACTCCACAGCTAAACAATTTTAGCAAACAAAAACATGGCTCAAACTCAGTCCATTTTATGGATATTGATAGTGGTGGGCACTGCTAACCAAAAAGTTAGCTTTGCGTTAACGCTAAACATGAAAATAAATTGTGGAAGCTAACATTAACACTGTCACTCAGTCTGCCTCACACGTCTTTATCTCCTTCCAGCTGAGGACTGGTGGGACACAAACCTGTTGATGTTAGCTTTTTAGTTAGCTGTTAGCAGACTTTAAGTTGGCAAAACTGAATTTAGCCGAGGCTAACTGGTCCACTGTAACGGTTTTCAAAGTAAGTGACAAGGCTAATGTGCTAAACAAACAAAGGAAAAATGTTCCGGTATTAGCAGTAAGCTGGACCATGTTTGATGTGGTAGTAGCTGAGAGTTTGTCCTATCACATAATCTGACCTGTAACAGATCACATCTGATCTTTGCCAAAACAGTTAGCGTGCAAGTCTGCAGGCAAATTTCTTTTTTTCATTTTACCTTTAATGTAACGTGACAATTTGTCATTTGCTTTCTAGATCAAATCTAGTGTGTGTTTTGTAGAAAATATTTAGCTAAACTTTATTCCCTCAAACTTAAGATACATTTGTCATTTTGTTGTAAAGATATTACAATTTAGCTGAAAGAAAATCCCCATTATCTCTACTCACTCTGTGACAAGCTTATCAACTGCAATAAAGCGTTTTTTTATGTGGTTTCTCACAGGTCAACATGACCTGAAAACTGACTGAAACAAGCTCTTGACATGAATTTACATCAATTTTATCCTGTTTTTTCAGCTTGCTCACTGGCGACCTGCAGACTCCCCCAAATCCAGAGAAGGTCGAGAAGGTAGGCTCCAAACGTTTCTCCAACGACTGAAAATATAAATCTAAAATTGGGCTGCTATCCTGCATGTTTGACTTGTTTCTCTGCTCCAATCTCCATCAGTGACTGAATTACCTCTTCGAGTTCTGCCTGTTAATAACCCATTAATTTGAGTCAGGCGTTGGAGCAGAGAAACCTCTAAAGTGTGCAGGTTGGACACTGTTGATCTAAGACGTGCTCTGTGTCGTGTTTCTCCACAAGTGCGGCGCTGGTTGGAAGTGTATTCCCGCAGCGGCTGCGAGCCTCGAGAAACGCTGGTGGAGGTTTGGAGGGAGCTGCCAGACGAGATCCACCACCTCTTCATCCCGTCCTGCGTGTCTGTGAGGCGGTGTGGTGGCTGCTGTGCTGACGAGGCCTTGGAGTGTGTACCTTTGCTCACGCACACACTCACCATGGAGGTACACAACCAACACACACACACACATGAATTTCCATGAGTTTAGCCAAGATAAATGTAAAAATATTGTTTTGTTGATTGTTTTCTCTGTAAGCTTTTGGCAATCAAATCGCTTTACATTATTTGTGCTATTTTTGACCCATTCATATCAAAATGTTCACCTTGATCAAGAACGGCCCACCATGACATTTGGTTTTAGCCATTTTTTTATACATATCAAAATAATTAACTTTGTTTAAAACTAAATTCCCCATAAAGATACATAAATATCTCCCTTAGATACATTGTTCTTTTTGAAATCTTCAGCAAACTTGTTATATTTGTCTTCTTTTGCTACTTACAGCTTTTAGCTACAAATCTGCCACTTTTACATTTCAGCCAACATTTTGCTACCTTTAGCTTTAAACTGCTGTTGTGTCACATTCAGCTTTTAGTTAAAGTCCTGCTATGTTTAGTTTTCGGCAAGAGTTTTGCTAATATTAGCATATACTTTGCTAATTTTAGATTAGCATCTATTTATTTGAGCCTTTTCGCAAATTTTAGAACATGGTTTGCTCAATTTAGCTACTTTTTTATTAGATTTTTGCTCAATTTTGCTACTGTTTTGCTAACTTTAGCTTTTAGCCACTGTTCTGCAGCTCGTAGCTTCTATTCTTTTGCTCTCAGCTATTGTTTTGCTGCTTTTAGTTTACGCTCTGCTCATTTTAGCTTGTTTTAGCTCTGTTTTAGCTTATTCTTTTAATAGTTATTCTGCATTTTTCTGTCAGAAATACAATTTCTCAATTTTTTCTTCTGTAATTGCAGCTGATGAGAACGTCCTTCATGAAACACGAGCTAATTGAGCTGCCCTTCGTCGAGCACAGTCAGTGCGAGTGCAGGTAAGAGTAACAAACTTGTCAAGTAGTGAAAAAAAACCCACAGTAAACCTGCTGTTTAATGACCTGATTGCACCTTTAACTCTTTTTGTTTTTATTTGCACACAGATTAAAAGAACAGCTCCAGCCAGCACCATCTACAAGGTAACGTTTCTCTTCCTTTATGTCTGGGTTTTAATCTGTGTTATGGCTGAACTGTCAACGAGATCTGATGTCTCACTTTTACATTTATCTAATTTCTAACATTATCAAAGCCCTTGTTTAATGTCATATCTGATGATGTGCTTATAATTCTGCTGCTGATGCCTTTTTATTCAAACGGCGCTTCTCGGAAAATCTTTTCGATGAAACCAAATGAACACAAAGCATCTCATTTGAGTTTTAAACACGTCTGACTTTGCTTGAAGCAGAAATAATTCACCTGCACGATGAAACAAATACAGAAGAATAAATGGGTATATGTTTTCTTAATTTGTGCTTTAAAGAGAAAAAGTAGCAAAATGAAAGCCAACATGGAATTTCACTTTGGGAATTTTTTTTTTTTTTTGTTGTTGCTTTGCCTCATTTCCTGTTCCACTTTTGTCAGTACTGCTCTTTCCTTCTAAAATGATTTTATTTAAATTAATAATCCATTATAATGTAGCTGTAAATACACGTTTCTACCTCCATATTTACATGTCTGTCTCTCTCTCTCGTGGTTTTTGTTGCTGTATGATCCAGGCCTGTAGATCAATGATACACGTTGTACAGAGTTTCACATCATCTGTGTGAATGTTTGTGACTTCTAGTAAATCTGTAACATTATCTGGGGTTAAAAAAAAACTCCTCTGGAAACATTTGGCATTCGTAGAGCAAATTGAAAACTCCCGGCAGATCATATAAAATTAAAGGGTTAGCATTTCTTAAAAGACTGTATACCACCCGCTGCCTTCCATGCCAAATGTTTAATTTAGTCATATCCGTTTGGGTGAAACCATGTAAATGATGATCTCACGAGATGTTAGATCTTCAGTATGTGTTGTGGATGACTCACAGCTACTACCACATTCAATTTTAGCTCACTGTCTGCAAATTCTTGTGTTATTGCTGCCTTTTTTAATAGTTAACTGTTTGTGTGTTTGTTGAAATCTATTCACTATCACCAGGCACATGTAGACATGGGCAAAAACATGATCACCCTTTCCTCCATGCAGGCATTAAGCATGTTGTTGCCAAGTTGGGACCGGTCCGGCAGCTCTGGGTTATAAATTATGTGTCTGAAAGCACTCGCTGTTACGCAACTCCTCTGTTAAGGTTTACTTATCTCAAGGTCAGCAGGGTTTTAGAGCTGCAGATTTGTTGTCAGCACACAAAAACACCCCGGAATACGTTGTTGCTCATTAATCTCTGCTGCCTGTTTGTTAAACATAAGATGCTAAACATAAAGAAACCTTTCACTTCTTGTAGAATTCAGTGGGTGACAATTTTTTTTTTCCTGAGAAGGGACATTTTTTTTTAAGTCTGTTTGTTTGCAACAAACAGTCAGGTCCTGCCAGATAATCACATAATTGCATCGTTAATGTTTATGTCCCCCTGCTTCCTGTTTGGACAAGTACATAAATACAGGATTCCTATGTATGCGTGTACAGTTTTTTGAAGACATATTTTTGTGTAAAGATCATGTATTTTTAAGTTTTGTTTCCAATTCTCCGACTTCTTGATGCGTTATTTGCATGCGTTCAAACTTTTAGTGTTTTTCTTTTTTTTTTCTTTTTTTTTTTTTTGAGTGATGTTTTCATGGAAGTGTGTGTAAATGTGAGTTAGCATCTGTGTGACTCTTTGCCAGCCTCCCCCCTGGGACGGCCCGCATCCTGTTGTCACCATAGTGATGATTTTATCTCCCCGGCCATGTGCTCGCTCGCAGACAAACGGAGCGCAGTCACGCATTCATATTGGTAAATTAGAGCTCCAAAAACAACAGCAACAGCTGCAGCTGTTTATCGTGTCAGGCCAGAAGCTGGTTAACGCTGTCAACAGATGATATAAAGTTAGAGCCTGAACATTTAAACCAGAGCAGCAGGATTCTCATTGCCACCTTTAAAACCCAGCATTCCTTGAAGTAATGCGAATAACTCTCAGCTACAACCACACGAGATTTAACCTCAACATCTGGAAAACTGACTAAATCATAGCCATTTCTGTCTTTTCTGAGGATGTTTAGCTGTGACTGCAATTTTAAATTAGATTGACATCAAAATTTAAGCATTTGTAGATGTGCATCCAATTATTATTTCTTGAAAGTTTCATTAAAATCCATCCAGTGGTTTTTAGGGTATTGTGCTAACAGACAAACACTGTTTTTCTAACAGTTATTGTTGAAATTTTAAGCAAAGATCTTGTGCAACAAGGAGCCCTTGGAGTATATGTTGTAAACAAATCTCCGCTACAACTGGGTCAAATTTTAGCACAATATCAATAAAACTGACATAGTTGTGGCCATTTATAGTAGTTTAAAATTTAGTTGGCTGAGGCAACCATCTTGAGCTTTGTTGGCTGCAAATGTTAATCAGTTATAAAAGAAAATCAAATGAACATTTCCTAAATGTTTCATTAATACTTGTCCAGTGGTTCATGAGATATCTTGCTAACAGACACACAAACAGGCAAAAACGTTATTGCCATTGGTCCAGAATATTAAAACCTCTTGAGATGCTGGTGTGACTACGGCTGTTGTTTGTTTTGTTTGTTTGTTTTTTGAGTGATTCAATGAGACGCATTGTGGTGCCTAAATGCTCAGTGCAGGTTTTGAAAATGTCTCCAGAATAACAATTGAGTGAAGCTGTTTGACAAATGGTCTGTCTTGAAGTGAAAAGCTGCGTCCGGCCACTATAATGCAGCGTAGTCATGGTAAAAGTACCTCTGAACTGTACGCGGGGAGAGTAATTGAATAAAATCATTGAGTTAATTGCCATCACTGTTCCCACGTTCATTAAAATTACATAACAGTAATATAGAGGCTACCCTAAATGTTTTATAGTTTCCCCGCTCCAGCACACCAGATTCATTGACAATCCAGTCCAAGCTCTATCCACCCTAGAGGTTAATCTTAAACAAAATCAGACTTTCAGCCCTTTTAAATGAATCCAGAGCACATTGACAGAGAGGAGAATGTAGAAATGGCAGCCTTTAATGAAAAATTATGATGTAGAACAACAGAGCTGCTTCATGGAAGGAGAACCTCAGCTTGGCCTGTTAGCTTTTGTGTTAGCACCCAAGCTAATACATAAATGGGAATATAGCTAGCCTAGATTTTTAAGCTTTCATTAGCTCAGGATTTATTGTCAAACTACAGGGGTTGGACAATGAACCTGAAACACCTGTCATTTTAGTGTGGGAGGTTTCATGGCTAAACTGGACCAGTCTGGTGGCCAATTTTCATTAACTGCACATTGCACCAGTAAGAGCAGAGTGTGAACGTTCAATTATCAGGGTAAGAGCACAGTTTTGCTCAAAATATTGCAATGCACACAACATTATGGGTGACATAACAGAGTTCAAAGAGGACAAGACAGCAAGTCTTTGTGATGTATCAAGAGCCACGGTATCCAGGGTATGTCAGCATACCACCAAGAAGGACAAACCACATCCAACAGGATTAACTGTGGACGCAAGAGGAAGCTGTCTGAAAGGGGTGTTCAGGTGCTAACCCGGACTGTATCCAAAAAACATAAAACCATGGCTGCCCAAATCACGGCAGAATTAAATGTGTACCTCAACTCTCCTGTTTCCACCAGAACTGTCCATCGGGAGCTCCACAGGGTCAATGGGCTGCTATAGGCAAACCTTTGGTCACTGGTGCCAATGCAAAACGTTGGTTTCAATGGTGCAAGGAGCGCAATCTTGGGCTGTGGACATGTGAAACATGTATTGTTCTCTGATGAGTCCACCTTTACTGTTTTCCCCACATCCAGGAGAGTTACGGTGAGGAGAAGCCCCAAAGAAGCGCACCACCCAGACTGTTGCATGCCCAGAGTGAAGCATGGGGTGGATCAGTGATGGTTTGGGCTGCCATATCATGGCATTCCCTTGGCCCAGTACATGTGTTAGATGGGCACGTCACTGCCAAGGACTACCAAACCATTCTGGAGGACCATGTGCATCCAATGGTTCAAACATTGTATCCTGAAGGCAGTGCAGTGTATTAGGATGACAATGCACCAGTACACACAGCAAGACTGGTGGAAGATTAGTTTGATGAACATGAAAGTGAAGTTGAACATCTCCCATGGCCTGCACAGTCACCAGATCTAAATATTATTGAGCCACTTTGGGGTGTTTTGGAGGAGCAAGTCAGGAAACATTTTTCTCCACCAGCATCACGTAGTGACCTGGCCACTATCCTGCAAGAAGAATGGCTTAAAATCCCTCTGACCACTGTGCAGGACTTGTTTATGACACTCTAAGATGAATTGTTGCTGTATTAGCTGCAAAAGGAGGCCCTACACCATACTAATAAATTACTGTAGTCTAAAACCAGGTGTTTCAATTTCATTGTCCCTGTATAAATGTAGCGTTATTTTTAATGTTATATATCGCCATGTATGTATTAGCTCAGGCACTAAAGCCATATCACCATGGTGGTATAGCGATGTATAGCGTAAAGCTACCTTGGTTAGTCAAAGCTTACGACTACTTCTGGCGTTAAGTCATACCCACAATCATTTCTACAGTAGCAACCGCATGAATAAGGGGGATATATTATATAAGTATTAGCTTGGGCTCTAACATGAAAGATAAAAGGCTAAGCTGAGGTTCATCTTCTATGAGGCAGCTCTGTTGTCCCACAGTCTTTTGGAATAAATGTTTATCAAATAATGTCTAATGTTACAACTAGTTTGTGTTCCCTTTAAAGCGTAATTTAAAATGTTTCTGTAGAACCAGGACCAGAAGCTATTCCCTTGTATGTGAAAATGTGCTTATAATTTCTGTCATATCCAATTTTTTTTCTTCTTTTTACAATTTGCGGGTGTGCTAAGATCATAACCCCCACAAATTTTATGGGTCTGCTGTAAATTGACGTAAATGGACTGGTACTGATGAGTTAATGGAGACACCTGAGCTGAATACTGACTGGGAACAGGTGAGAGTGGGCGTGACAGGCAGAGTGGAGCAGGGAACTGACTGAGGAGGAGTGAAACGGTGGCACAGAGGAATTTATTAATTAACCTTTGTCAAATCCCACTGTGAGATTGCTTTTTTGCAAGGGAGGCCTGAAGGCAGCCTAACATTCATGTTTCTGGTCTGTGGGAGGAGAGTTGCCAGAGGAAACCCTTACAAGCAGCAGGAGAACATGAAAACTCCAGACAGATCTGAACAGGGGGTAAAACCCAGGACCTTTACTGTGAGGCATCAGTCCTAACCACTGAACTATAGTGCTGCCAACAGAACACAGGGGAAATTACAAGTATTAAAATTAAACCTAAATATCGTAAAACATAAAATATACCAAATCCTAAAACACTGAGACTTTTAAAAAGTGTATTTTTCTGGTATTTTTAAAAATCTGATGCACCAACCCTGACAATATTTATCTCAGAAAGCAAACCAAAGCACCGGAAATTTTAAAAAAAAAAAAGTCACATCAGTCTCATTGTGAAGACCAAATTTAAAGGCTTAGTAAAGCCATAGATTTGGTTTTAATTTCTTTTTTTTTTATCACAAACAGTTGTCCAAAACAGTTTTTTTATTTTTTGTTTTTTTATTTATTTTATTTTTTTTTGCTTGATGTTTCCCATCGTCACAAACCATCAGAGGGGCTGATGCACCAGAATAACCTTCTTTTGGCCTAAAATCCTGCATTTCATAACTTTGCATGTTCTTCTCATTGTGTAACGAGTTCTGAGTGGTTTGTTTGTATGGAGAGCCGTTTTAGCCAAAATTAAATAAATAAATAAATGG